ATTGCCTGTTAATTTTTTTTTTTTTTGTTTCTAGCAGTTCTTGACCAGTCCTTCCCTGAGTTCAGCTCCCACTGGTCGTACTTGTGGCATTTTTGAATGTGAATACATTCTTGAAGTTCTCAGTAATGAACAACTAGAATTAACCTGAAAGAAATTGCAAAATGTGTTTTCATTTAACTATCTAACAGCTCAGGTAAAGATGAAGAAACAACTGGTTTAGACCAGTAATCTCTTCATTCACTGGGAAAAAAATCATAGGCAATACCTGTTCCAGCTTAAATAATATGGGCTACTCGCTTTACGAACTAAAAGAAAAGGAGTAGTTCATTTTAAGACCTTCAAGAACTCATTCATGTTCAAAAATGCCACAAGGCAAGCCAGTGGGAGTCGAACTTCGTGAAAGAGTAATTGAAAATCACTTGGATGGCAAATCTGAAAGGGCCATTGCCATACAGTTGAGTTTGAGCAAAAGTACAGTGCATGATATCATTTCAAGAGAACTGGCAAGTTCCCTCTGAGGAAGTCTTCTGGACGTCCCTTAACCCTTCGAGGAGTGGGTTTTTTAGGCATTCTAGGTGTTGGCCTAGAAGGTCACCCGTAGTGAATACATGGAGGGCAGGAGGATGTCAGCCCGTATATATACAGGCATACTCGTCCTCTTTAAAGATTAAAGACCTCTTTCAGAGAAAATAAAACTCTTTGCAAGCTGGTCAAGTCAAAGAGACATGCAACTGCCCCAAAACCGACTCTGGAATGGAATTCAGCAACTGGGAAGAATGTGGCAGCCAGTACTTGCTGCTGCCACCTTAAAGAGATGGGCTACTCCTTTTACAAGGCCAAAGAAAAACCATTCTTGACATCACACCAGAAAAAGAAACAAGCCAAATGAGCAAAAGATTTCAAGAAATGGCCATTGTCCCTCTGGAATCAAGTGGTATGGAGTAATGAATCAAAGTTCACTATCTGCATCGGTGATCACCACAAGCGTGTTGTCTGCAAGAAGGTTTTTCACCCTGATTGCATCAACCCAATGGTGAAATCCTGACAGTGTGATGGTATGGGGCTGTATGAACAGCAATGGAGTCAGCCAACTGCATTTCATTGATGGAACTTTCGACAGCACTAAATACATCGAAATCATGGTGAATGCCTTGATTCCATCAGTGGAAAAACTGCATCCTGATGGGGACTTCATCTTCCAGCAGGATGGTGCCCCATGCCATCCCAGCAAGAAAAGTTGCCAATAGTTCAACAACAGGCAGATGGAGGTGCTACTATGGCCATCCAGCAGTCCAGATATGTCACCAATAGAAAATATCTGGGGAATTTTGAAGGCTGGGATTAGGAAACAACAACCAAGAACCATAGAGGGATTATGTGTAGCCCTCTGGGAATTGTGGGATGCTATCACTGAACAATGCACCCACCTTGTTTTTAGCATGCCTCAGCGACTGGAAGCCCTGATCGCTTCAAAAAGTGATGTCACAAAGTTTTAGCTTGGATGCCTGAACTACTTTGGAATGTGTGATGCTTTTTTGAGAGTTGATAATTTTTTTCTGTTTGCAATATTGGGATCTACTTTGAGGTATGGTTAATTACATGTCAGAGTTGTCGACAATACCAAGTTTGTCTCAATGCTAATGTCCACTTACCTGAAAAATAAAAAATAAAAAAGAGTTCTCAAAGAAAACCAGCGTGCCTGAACCATTTTGGAAGTGGGTGGTACAGCACGAGTATGAACTTGGCCTAAGGGGGATGGAATTAGTATCACCTACTCTGTGAGGAAAAAGTTCAATATTTTCCCCCATAGCACTAGTGCAATAAGAACCCTAGCTGACCTCTTACTTTCCACCCATTTCTTACTGGTACAACAAGTGAATTAGAGCCAATGCCAGATGAAGACCAATGTAGAAAGATATCAAGACTTTAATATACACTGGCACGTGAAGAAAATCTGATGAACCACTAGCGATGAATTTGAACAAACCATACCAACTAGTCCTGACAAAATTTTAAATGAAGATGCACTGGTAAGAGCTCAACATACAAATGACATAAGCCTACGACTCAATACAATAGCAGGCCTTACGGTGTCTTGCCTAGGCAACCAAGAATTGTGTCGCCTTGAGACTTTATATGAAGGTCCAGATTATTTATTTTACCCAGAATGAACAGTTGAGGTCTGAAGACTGTACCCAAGCCTATTCTAGAACTAGGCCAACACTTTATGAATTGATCATATTAACATAAATGAACCAGTGTATGTAAAATGATATAATAAAATTCCAATCTACGCTTCTTCAGGCCTACGGTACTATAGTGTGAGTTTGATCTTGTAAAGATGTCGCAATGTTACTATCATATGTGTACAGTAGCCATTTTTAACTAACCTTCCCGCGCTCTCGTGCCGAGGCTGCTCACCGGCAGGGCTGCAAAAACTCTACCTTCTGCTCCCGGTTGAAGTTCTAAAGTCCCAGACCTTTTATTTTTAATTTCTTATATGGGATGTTGTTGCAATGGGGTGTTTGATGTCGATCATAGCCAGTGCTCAACGAGATGTAATATAATAAATCGCTAGGAACATGAGAGATGAAGGAAAAGGCAGTGGTGACCAAAGTGGACAAGCTAGCAGGATCGGTCCTAGCTATTTCGGCGCCCTGTGCAAAGAGACTCTCAACGCTGCCCCTCCCCGAAGGAGAGAAGGATCAATCTCTGGCGTCCAAAAAGACGCCGAAACGGAAGGCATTTCCACTTTTTAAAGTAAAGCGGGGGGTGGCATCCATTATTGCTTCATTCATTCTGGCACGTTTTGGCGCTCCTGGCGAATTTGCGCCCTGTGGGGGGACACATGTCGAAGGCCCGCTCTGCAAGCTAGGAGGTCCTTCAGGAGAACTGAGGACTGGGAAAAAAAGGCGAGGGAGGAGTCCCCCGCCCACCTCGCATTTTTTTCCAGGTGGACATTCTCCAGCCCAGCTTATTTCTTATTTTCTTGTCCCGCCCTAATAAACTCGATCGACAGTGACAATGAGACAGAAGGAAATCGTGCAAATCCAACCGAAGGGCTATGTAAAAGCTCTGGAGTAGCAGTTTATGTAGTTTTTTCCTCATTTTTGTGGGTTCTAATTCTTTTACCTTCCTGTCTCTTTATGATTCATTTGGGAGCTCGTGGAGGAGTTCATATTCATATATTCATAACTGTTCAGTTATGCAAAACCGAAAAAGAATAAACTCGCCCTGGTCACTTGACCCCCATTCACACTGTACGTGAATGGAGTGGCCACCTTTGAAATGAGTAAAATATGAACATATGGTCTGTGGACATATGAAAATATGGGAAAATATTTGAAGTATACTTGCGTTTGTGACTCTGCTGCAAATACCTTCAGCCACCTTAAGCCATGATATCAATTGATGCTACAAGTGTGTGGCATACTACTCTGGCTTAAAGAAAAGAGTAGTTTTAGCTGCTATTAAGTTTTACTAACTAAAAAATAAAATTCTTAATAATTTTAAAGCATGGATGAAGTAGTGTCCACAGTGGCGTGCCCAAGGGTTTGGGGGTTATAACTCTTGGGGTCAATTTTACACGTTCGATTCTCACAAATTTTTTTATTTTGCCACAAATACAGGGTGGGTTATCAGTTTTTTTTTATGTTAACCCCCCCCCCCCTTCATTAGGGTGGGTAATCAGTGTTTCATGTGACGACCCCCCCCCCATTCGGATTTCCTGGGCACGCCGCTGAGTGTCCATATTAAGACAAGTTTCCAGTATGGATATTGCATCTAAAATATGAACTGTCCATACTAATTATGAACTGGTGGCAACCCTAGGTGAAAGATAATAGGCGCAGTAGCGTCCTCCCCAAGTTGCCACTCTTGGGAGGGGGTTCAAAGGAAAGACCAACCAAAAGAAAGATATTGACAAGTCGATCAGGAAAAATGCCCTTTAAATTTTTATTTGATGCACTATTTTGTCATTTAAAAAAATGAAATGAGCGATCGTTCATTTAGACTTAGTGTGTTGGCTGCCGGTGCCGTCCCCCACGGTTGCCGGATATCGTGCAGGAGTTATGTGGGATTGCATAACAGCTGCTGCTTTCGCATTGACGTCTGAATCTTTTATTTTTTTTATTTATAATGCACCTTTGTACTGAGTTCATGGGATGAGGCAAGACTGAAACGGTAACCATTCGATAAGGTGCGATTTAGAGATACCATGCATGGACATCCTTACTGAAAATGGCGCCTAATATGGATTTTGTGCTTGGGGGCATACTATCCTCAGATCTTGTCGAGATGGTTCGAGTAACTTCAAATAGGCCTAATGTTACAGTCCTCACTGGAATGGTTCGTGAAACTCGAAACAGGCTCATTATCGGTCTAACTTTACACACCCCTCTGAAATGCTTCGCGTAGGCTATAATTTGCCCGTAATCGGCTTAACGTTAACCATTCTCAGCGAGACACCTTGAGAGCCCCAATATTAACCTTTATAAGCCTATCTGGTCACGTAAGTCGAGAATTAGTTTCTTATGAATGAAAATGGGTAGGTATAGGCATAAACCTGACCTGAAGACAGTCCTTGGATTAGGCCTAGGCCTGACGTTAGTGAGACCCGTAGAGAAGGGGTGGAAAGGGAAAGGGAAATTGGGGATTGAATTCTTAACCCCCCCCCCCCAATTCCACCTCTTCCCCAAATAGTGGAGGATGGAGAAAACACTACGGTGATAGCCGTAACCAGCCGGGTGTAAGCGCTCATGTAGGGGGGTACGAATTCAATCTGAAAACTGTGTAATCATGATTTTCAGATTAATTTTGCAGGGTAGAAACGTACTGCATCGTGCCGTGAAGACTACTGAACCACGATGCCTAAACAGATGATCGCGAAATGCGAACATTATTAAGCTAAAAAATGCCGGATCCAGCATAGAAACCGATAAACATGCTTGCTGATCTCAGCAGGGTGGAGTGGGAAGGGAAGCGATAGATACGGCCTTTGGACCACCTTATCTCCCCTGACGCGTGGAGCTTTTGGAGTGTATTCAGTAGGTCCGTGCCGGCATTAAACATGGGTTCGGGTCCAGTTTCCGTCGACTTCGAGCAATACCCAAAACTCAATTATTCTGGCGTGAGAATTTCACCCTTAACCGTCCGTAAATCCACCATCTCTTTTTTTTTTCTTCATAATTTTCTCCTGCCTCCTCGGACAGGTGTTGGACTGGCTCGTGTCCGTGAACTGCCCCTTCGATGTGTGGAGGAAGCAGCCGACTTACTTGCTCTCGGAATGCATTTTCCTCCTCGCTGCCCTCCTCAACTTGGCACACGGTGAGACATCATTAGAAATTTTATTATATTTAGGGAAATCGAGATCGCTCCTTAGAAAAAAAAAAGCTAATTTATAGCTATATTCTCTGTTCTTGACTGCTTCCCCCGCCCATTCCTCATTAAAGGATCCCTGCGTCTGACATTTCCTGGTATATAGCTCGTAGAAACCTGGCTTTGACAGGTGGAATTCTCTCCCAGTGTCATTAGAAACTTCCAAATTTCTTTCCGGGAAGAAGTAATGAGGTGGATTCCTCGTGGGCGGGGCAAGGACATCAAAAGAAACTTTCAGGCTTGCGGCCCCTTCATGTTATTTGTGTGGCTTTCATCTTGTTAGGTGGAATCATTCTCGTATATCTATGGCGAGGAGTGCAGTGTCTACTGAATTGAGCACCTGGCGAGATAAAATTATCGGTTGCACTGCCATCTACCGATCGCTCTCAGAAACAGTGTGAGAGAAGGGGGGCTTGATAATGGGGAGAGGACGTAGAACTAAGCTGCGTTGAGGGACTTAGCACTCTTTCATGCTCGAATTTAATTTTGATCATTCAGGAAATGACCCATTATGAAATTGCAATGAATCCCTTGTAAGATTGAAGCTTGACCACAGCCCTACCAAAGGGTCAGCGTCTTTTTCCCACGAACGCCTTGACTCACAGAAAACCTAAGACATTCTTTGGAGAGCTTCATGTGCTCACCGCAACGACTTAGGTGCCATTCAATACGAGCAGGCACTCCATAACGGCCCTGCCACCCACTAGGACCCGGCCCAAGCGTCACCACTCTTCCCCTTTTCATTCAGCCATCAGGGTGGGAGGACGATGGAAGTACTTGTGGCTGGGGACGGTCATTCACGGGTTGACGATCGAGAACGTCGCCTTCTGGTTCCCGGAATACATCGATAATTATTGGCACTCTCAGACGACGATCGTTCTCTTGGGGCGACGACTACCCCTTCACATCATCTGCCTCTGTGAGTCTCTTTCGTTCCGTTCTCTTTTGGGGTGTGAAGGTCTATTCTTCAATAACCTGGCGTGCAGTCATCTTGGAATAAAATGAAACGCAAGAGCTTTAACTCATAAAAATGAATTTTTCCCAATATTGTCATGATAATAATATCCCTGAGGCTTTCGATTTGGAAGCAAATAGACTTTTAATTCCTTGCGTTCCTCTCTCTAGAGACAACTCGTAAGATTAAGATTTACCATCGACTGATTGAATGTGTTCCAGCAAATAATGTTCGAATCTTTGGAATCTCTCTTCCCTACTCCCTGCTGATAGATCCCGCTTTCACATACACGGCTTCGGTGAGCGTGGCAAGGCTTCGACTCCCCCGCTGGGCCGAACCCTTCGCAGGTACGATCACTTTTCTTCCTGTTTTTCTTCATGCTCAAATGTAAAGTAAGACATTTCTAGGAATTTACTCCCTTCATTCACGAGAAGAAGCGACTGAAAAATGTTTATTATTATTATTATCCCTTTCTCTATTTTTTTCCTCTTGGATTCATTCACTCTTTCTCTCGCGCTCGCGGACACTGGTATAGAGCGCGTTGGCAGCGCGCGACGAGTCACTGTCGACGAAGTCGTCCTGGCTACCGAGCCGACGCTTCTTTGCCGAGCATGCACTGCGACGCAGACGAGCTTCTCCGCACTTCGTTTTCAACGTCGCCGTTGGATGACGCGCTTTGCCTCCCTCTGGGGTGGGGGCAAGGCGGGAGCGGGGCTGCGACCTTACAACTACCGAAGCGCGCCGTCGTTTTGACGACGCAGAGGTCGAACGAGACGACATGAACGTGAATTTATCGTCGTATAGCTAGAAGCTTGTCGGCGGCACGTCGACGCAACTTAAAAGGGTGCGAAGGGAGGTCGACGTTCGAGCATCGAGTTCTGCGCGATGGCGAGGTAGGCTGCGTGCGCTGAACTTGTTCTTGCCCGCTGTGCCAGTGTGTACGAGGTCTCCGACCTTGGAATAGTCGTCGGACAACACCCATTTTTGGAACCCCTTGACGAGGTCGGGAGAACTCTCGCCGATGCCGCCGTGCAGACATCGGCGCGTAGCCAGGGCTTTCGTGACTCGGTGGATCGAAACGCTCGAAAGCTTCTGCCGAGATGGGCGACTACTCCAGTCGTCATTTTTGTGCAGGAGTGCCGGAAAACACCGCCGCACCTTGAGCAGAGAGCGAGGAAACAAGGTGATGCGGAAAAAAAAAAAAAAAAAAAAGCCACCACTCTGGCTGGTTGTTTTTCAGTCGCCTTTTTTTATGAACGGAAGAAAATATAAGATACCATGGGGACAATGGCAAGAAGAATGCCTGAGAAAGTTGATGAATGGAAGAACCTCTTTAAAATCTTTTCCAATTACGTCTGCTTCTCCATCTGCTTCCTCTGCCGAACAATGGCATTTTATGAATGGCTTTTTTTCTTCATTAAAAAATCTCAATCTTGCTCTTGGTCGTAGTGGGATTGACGGAGGTATTGATCGACATACCGTACGACATAATGGCGGTGCGCTTCGTGCATTGGACGTGGCACGACACGGACCCGAACATTTTCGACCGACACTACTGGGTCCCGTGGAATTCCTACTACTTCCACGCCACCTTCGCCGCTTCCTTCACCTTCTTCTTCCACTTCTACCGGCGGGTCTTCATCGGCAACGGGGACAAGTGGGCCTCCTCCAACTGGTGCGTCTGACTTGGCTAACAGGTGGTCTCTTGAAGATTGAAATTTAAATTTAGAATTCTAAGGAAGAAAAGCAAAATGAAAAGCCCGCTTTTTCTCTCCTGCGATCCATGCTACGCGAGTCTGGATTCTATAAATAGCAAATATAGAATTTATTGCTTGATTTCCTTCGCACTCAAGACATTTCTTTCAGTTCGAAACTCTCTATTGAGCAAAGACAAAGGCAACTCAACTGTCAAGTGAACGCCTTCCTTTTTTCTCTCTCGCTCGATGCCTTCTCTGCTAATTGTTCCTCGTAAACTTGGTTGCTAACCCCCTCCCCCTTCCTTATCGCGAATTAAGACCTTAAAAAAAAAAGATTTTTAGTTTGGGTGGAGATTGAACGTGTTGGTCTGCCAATATTGGGTTAAGGTACTAAGGGAAGATGAAAATCGACCCCCCTAGAATCAAATTC